TATATATATTTACAAAGCCAGTTTAAAAACCAGTTTATTGAAGCAGTGGTATTATCATTTGCACTGCTAATGACCATGCAGAAGTTATATAGACAGCAGACAACCAGGCGGTTATGGATTTGCCACATTTGGTGCTGAATAAACAGACAAATTACGCATTTGTCAACACATGTKATCCACATATGCATTCTGGTTTGCTTCTGTCAGCTCTGTAGTCACTGACATGGAGATGCAAATAATGTAATTCAGGCTATAGTTGGATTATTCCTGCAGTTTCTTTTCTAGTGTGTGTCAGTATTCATAAGAGTGTTATATTGTGGTGAATTCTTAGCTGTCCATGAGTAATTTTGTGTGGAAAAAAAAGTATTTATTTTTGTCTTTTAACATCAGTGACAGAATAGTAATGGTTTCACTTAGTTTGTTGAGTTAATCTCAGCATGATGGTGAGGTAGCCCAGTGAAACTGATGTATGCCATGAGGTGATCTGGGCAGAGACAGAAAGTTTTGTTAGTCATAACAACAATTTGCTGCTCTTTCATGTTTGTCCAGATTGCCCCGCTTTGAATGTTTGCAGTCTTTTAATTTCTGCTGTGACATTTAGTTTTATTTTATTTGGATCCAACTTGTTTAGAAGTTGATTTGGTCAAAATGTTTGAGTCATAAACACTTGACCTGGCGTGACCTCAMCTTGAAAAAGTGTGTTCACGAGACATGACGCATTTCAAAATCAAAAACATATAGGTGAACAGATGATTAGAGGGGAAGGAGCAATTGAAAAGAAAAAAAAGGAGGGAATGACTATAAATAAGATTCAATTCAATCTATGGGGATGGTTGAGTCGGAGAAAGAAAAGAGCAGTCAGAGGAAGAAATGAATGCATGAAAAAAGCAGATTGATCAACGTGACAGGGTAAAACTGATGAATAGAAGCAGTCAAAATGAAAGGAGCGTGAAATTTGGTTGAACAGCTGGATGGATGAGAAGGAGCCAAGGGATGGAGTGAAAGGGGGAGGAGCAGAGGAGTAAACTGTAGACTGAGTGAGAGAAATATCCTTGTCTAGTCTTGTTAGCATGACATGGGTCACGCCTGCAAGACAGATAGACAAAAAGAAAGGTGGTGGCTAATAGAAATAAACAGACCATCAAAACTATTGGTGACAATACAAGAAGAAAAAAAATAACACAAGAAAGTGAAGATTATATGAACAACTAGAAGCATTCGGAGAGTGCAAACCTCTGCCAAGACCAATTTCCCCCATCCTGTAATAGAGTTAATGTGCAAAAGCAGAGATGGAAACACATTTGCTGAATAAGTTCTGACATAGCGAACATTTGAGCAGGCAGTTTGCACAGAATTTCTTCTCGGTGGAGTCCAATGGGAAAAAAAAGTCAAACTCGTCACCCGACATTATTCATGGTCAAACTGGTGTSGGATTAAGCTCCTAAGTTTTCATCAGTCACATTTCACCATGTAAAACGTCTGTTTTATCTCCTTGTATGAGTTTGTAATGGTTTGACTCTCTTTATAAAGTGCTTCCTGCCCCAAACCTTGAGGCCCGGCAGCTCTCTGTTTACAAGACTAATAGCAAGAAACTATTTTGATTGGTTGTTTTGGAAATGTGGTGTGTTTGAGGAAATGGGAAAAATAGGTTTCATAGTGCAGTCACGCACTTCCTGGTCACAAAACGTTCTGTAAATGTGCACCAAATGCATAAAAATGCACACATTATGGCAAAAAGTTATTCATCATAAAATCTGGTTTTAACATTACTTTTATAAAGTGTGAAGTCCGTGCTGTTCAGTCCAGCTCACTGTTTTTTTACAGAAGCCCTGTGAAAGCATCACAGCTTTGCCSATCTCAGAGTGTTAAAAGAAAAACAAATCCTGTATCCGCATCGTGATGCAGAACATCACCAAAATGTAACAGTGTGTTCCTTGGCCCAGTACCCACATGTGTTAAAAATGTCACGACAATCTGTCCACAAGTTTTTGAGTAATGTTGTCCACAGACAGAACGACAGACAGACAGACAGACGCGACCGAAAACATCACCTCGCCCTTGGCGGAGGTAACAAAAAAATATTGTCTGAGCATAAATTTTGCACTTTACAAATTATGTTTAGCAGCCAGTCCTCATTTATGAGCCTCATTTTTACCACAAACTTCAGCGTATTTTTGAATGGCCTAACTTTGGATTKCAAGTGACCTATCTTATCAGACCGAAATTCCAAATACATTGTACACTTACTCGAACCACATGGCAAGCTTAAAACACCAAGCCACGATTGAACTTGTGCTGTTCGGAACAGCATAGCTCCTTATCCACCACAATCTAAGCACAGCAATTCTGGCAGATCCCAAACATGGCACTGTCCATGCAGTCGCTGCGGTCATACAGTTAAGTGCCAGGGACCAATGCCAGTCCTTCAGATGAACAATCTCTGGTTCTCCTATCTTGTGTATAAATCTGAGAACCAGAAGAAGAGTTGTGGTAAGCCAGTTTTGCAACAACCATATGAGTTAAATTTGTGTTTGGCATACGGATTAGGGTTGTTTGAGTGTTCTATTTATGGATATGTACCAGATTAAAGGTTCGCTGTTATGTTATTTTATCAAAACATTTTACAGTTTTTGTTTGGTAAGCCTTATCAAAACCATAATGTGTATCTTTGAGTGCGAACAAATGCAATAAGTTCATTTCCTTCTATATAAAATGCTTGGTCCGCGCTATCCGCTGGAATACCGCAGGAATTGTTTAGGTTCATGAAGAAGAGAGCAGAGAAGGACAGAGGAAATACTCAAGGATCAGATTTATAAACTCACAAACACAAATGYACAAACATGGACACAGAATATTAGTTACATTGTGAATACACACATACAAACAACTGCTCAGTTGAAATTAAAATAAAAAAAGAAAAAACAATGGAAAAAGAGGGGGAAAGAAACTCATAATATAGGATTTCAGCAAAGTAAACCAAAAACTGCATGGACAGAGAAAATGACGATGGGAATAAATAAAAGAAAAAAGAAAACGTGTGGCTRTGGGAAATAGGTTGGGTTTGAAATAGAAAAGAAACGGTGACATCTGAAGAGACAAGACAAGGTGTACAAGTCCTTCATTGTGCCCTCATTAGCTACAGTTGAAAGAGGTTATGCATGCCTAGTCTTAAATGAACATTTGTGTGTGGAGAAGAGGGTTGCGAGGTATGTGTTTGTTGAGTATTAATGTGGTGGCCTTTACTAAATGTCACACTAATCTCCCATCAGGTCAAAGAGAGCACTTCTTCTGTTATTCATCAGCAAATGACAGAGGGAGGGATGCAGGATAGATGGGTACATAAAGGGGGAAGAAAAAGAACGATGGAGGCAGCGAAAGAAAAAGATGTGGGGATGGATGAGTGGACAAAGAGGAGAAGGAGAAAAGAYGGAGGAGAGGTGGGGGGAGGAGATGATGGATGACTGAATGGGGGAAAAGCGAAAATGATCTAGAGAGGTTGTTACAAAGAATGTTAGTGGGATGAGAGAAAACAAGACAAGCCGATCCCACCAACAGCAGGATAGGTGTTCCCTGTGAGAGTCACCTTATTTGTTACCAATCTGACTTTTTTCGCAGATTAATTCATAAAACATTTTTACTAAACGACTGTAATATAATCAGACAAATATAATCAGACAGTTTGACAAAAGAGGGCATCACGCCAGCTTCAATGGTATTGCATGAAAAGGCCTAACGCCACTGTGTGCTCTGGTTTGAGGACCTAATTAGGATGCCTCCTGGACAAATCCTTTTGAGGTTTTCCCACCATGTCCCACAGTGAAGGGACCCTGGGGCAGCCCCAAAACCTGCTGGAGGAATTATGTATATCCTCTTTGGCTTAAGATCCCAGGTGGAGCTGGAAAGCATTGAGAAAAAAAAAGATGTCTGTGTTTCTCTCCTGGACCTGTTGCCTCTGCAGCTCAGCTGTCACCCCACCAATGAAATTACTGCTGTAATATGAATTTCCGATAAATGTCTGGTAAGCATCATTTAAATTAAACTCAGCTCTTAAAGAAACAAACATGAGCATGAATATAAATGCAGATGCATTCACATTTAACTTTGCACACTCACAAACCAGTACACTGAAGACAAGAACAAGAAATTAATACAGTGTTAWGTAGACATTTACAGTATCTCTTGCATTTGTACTTATACATACAATATATAGTATAACCACAGACATGACACAGGAAGTAGTGCTTAGAAAAATCTTGAGAAATAATAAAAGTGCAAGTACTTATTTATGTTCTCTATTTAATTTATTTATTTAGCTTTGAGATAAAGCCAATGGCCTGTAATTACATTTAAACACTTATAAGAAAAAAAGTATCAGGAAGTCCTTTTTGATTATGATTATTTATGTGTGTGTGCATGTGTGCTCGTTTGAGATTGTGGAATAGGAAATTGGCATCCCTTAAGGATTTGTGTGATTACAATGTGTTTGGGAAAGTTCTGCTTTGGTTGTGTTTTTGTTTTTATTGAATCCCATGATGGTTTGTGCACAAGGCAAGCTCAACCAACAAAGAAACTATGAAGTTTAGTTAGCACACGTCAAAATAAATGCTCGTGAAAATAAAATAATAAATAGTCCTTGTTGATAATTTGTTAACATTCCAGATTTCTCATATGTTTGCTCTAACTGTTCTATTCATAAAAGAAAAAAAAAAAAACTCTGCCAGCTTCTTGAGAATATCCACTTCAAACAATACAAAGGTCTGTTGTAGACTAATTTACAAACTTCTCCCACACTTTGGTGCTTACAGATTCTTGAGCTTCGACACACTGTTTACCTACTGCCACCCAGTGGATATTTGGTATCAGAACAACTTCTGTGTCCAAGGCAACTATTGCCATGATAAGCTTTGAGAATGAAAACAGACCATATGAAAGAAATGAGAGAAGCAGATCAGATTGTATAGAAACATAAAATAGCAAATTATTATGAATGTAGAAATGACATGGCACAAGAAAAACAAGTTTTTTTTAGTTTTCATGAACCCAAACTRTCATTCTGCTTGGTTGCAACAGGCCTGTTTGAGACTGTTATTAAATGTTTGCTAATGTTTAATCAGTGCTGAGTCTTCAATGAMAGTCTTAGTTTAGATGCCTTGTTGTATACAGGAGAAATAAATATGCTAAAATGTTGCTTTTTGGTATTTTGTAAACCTGGTCTCCTTTGTTTTCTGTATTTTTTAACATGGATCACTTTTTTATACTATAACAGTATGACTTACACTACCCCACCCTTCTGAAGAGCTCAAAGCCAGAGCTCAGAGCTCAGTCTATTGACTAATGTAACATTACTGTAATCTGACCAGTCTATAAAACACTGTCAGTCAAGTCTGGCTTCAGACTCTTAAGCTAGTTATCCTATAAGTGGCTGCAGACAAAAGGAAGTATTGTCTCAGTTTTTAGTGGTTGGAGTTCACAGCAGACCACCAGTGAAAAGACTAACTCCATTTATTCTCTTCTGGTTTTGATGTTCTGTGAGAAATTGGGTGAACAGAGGCATAGTCAACTCCACCACGCCACCAGCTACATCTCACTTCCTCATGTTCTCCCCCTTCTTTTGGCTTTGCCAAACCACTGTCTCTATTGGTGTATGTCTGCCGTCCTGCAAAAGAAAAATATATTAAAAAAAAACACTTCAGGGAGAATCTCAGACACTCACATATAAACACACACTCTCAATCTAGGGTCAAACGTAATGCAAAAGGTCATGAGRTCCTAACTTGCTGCTAACTTTGCTTCGCTGGAAACATGTCGCCAACAAAACATTATTTATAGTATAAAAGCTTCTTTCTTTACCACAGTGATCCAAACTGATTGAGTCCAGCCTTTAAATTGTTTAAATCTAATTTCAGCTCAAAGCTTAAACTCATCAGTGTAAACAAGCCCATGTGCTGCTGGGGGGATCCATTGCGGACCTCAGCCTCCATGTTAAGAAACCATRACCTAGATCAAGGGGCACACTATAATCTCTAACAAACGAACAGCGCACCGAGAAAGTAATTGGGTTATTTCATGTCTGTGAAGAGCATTTCAACCCAGATTTCTCTCWTTTCTTTCCATTTAGTTTGGTTGATTTGCAAACACAACAAAACAAAAGAAAACATGTTTGACTTTAGTGTGTTTGGAGCCTGGCATTTACAATTTGTTCTCCCATTTCTTTTTAAATCTTTTAGAATATTTTTGGACTCATCATAGCCAGAAAAAACACTAAACCCTTCTTCTAAACTTCTGTTTTTTTTTTTCCTTGTGTTTGTTGCAGCGTTGAGTCAGTCGGCGACGGACTTTTCCACACAATCGAGCTGTTGATTCAGAACCGCTCTCTGAGCCTGGTGGTGGATAATGGTGCCCCGAAGAGCCTGGGCAAGCTAGCACGCCAGCCCTCCAGTGACCACAACACTCAACTTTACATAGGGGGTACGCGCACACGGATACATTTACACATGCTTATTTTGAAGTCGCATGTATAGCTCACACAGATGTTACTTTTGCCTGCTTTCCACTGCCTTTATGTGGTTTTGATTACATGTTTGCCATGGATAGGTACCTATACATAACAACATATAAATACACAACACACTAAATCCCAGTAAGGCTTGTGGTGAGGAAATGGAAATCTGTTTTTGCTTAACTAGTCCTCAAAAAAGGGAGCAAGGCATGCCTTTGATAGCTAAAGAGAAAAGCATTGTGCGATAGTAAGTGCACTGATGCCTTAATTCTGTTTGATCCATCTGAGAATGAAATTATTTATCAGTTTGTTAATCAAGTAACCCTGTTTATTCTGTATATTTCTTTTGATTTTCTGTCGTTTTTATTCCACATCTTCTCATTTACAGCTCCCATTTCTCTTAATCCTGTGTCCATAATTTTCCTTATTGTGTTTTATTCCCAGGTGTACCGTCCCAAGTGGCGGCTTCAGGTCTACGTCAAGCCCCTGAGCGCTCCCCTCAGACCTTTGACGGCTGCATTCATAATGTTCGGATCAACGGAGAGACCCAAGACCTGAGTTTCACATCAACAGGAAGAGGGCAGTTGCACAGCATTGAAAGCAAGGCAAGCAGGGTTTTGCAATAAGGCATCCTGGTTTATACTTGGAAGCAAATTGCCTGGCAATTAATGTTCATCAGGGTTATTAAAAAGCATGTTTAAAGTTTTTTTGAGGAGTTTGGTCTTCATCATATTGAATTCTGACCTGCATATAGAAGATAACAAACATGTCAACAAAAAAATCTAAATTTTGGCAAAAATGCACCAAAAAATGTGATTCAAACTCCTTTAAGAGTAATAATTTCTTAAATATAAGTTGTACGTTTTGTTTGGCAAACTTACTGATCTAAATTTAGGCAGTGAAAAAGAATAGATGCCGATATGGCCAATAGAGTTACACTTAATTGTTGTTAAACACTTTGAAATTAAATAAATATCAAAATGTTTAATCGGGTTAAGAGCACACCTTTTGAACTTTGCTAAGTGTTATTTCATTTTCTTGCTCTTTCATCAGGGTGACGGCATTCTTGTTGGATGTCGTTCCTGTAGCATCTGTGCACAGGGTACCTGCAGAGAGGCAGGGGAAATGGGGGTCACTTGTGACTGTCCTCCAGGGCACAGTGGGGCCCTTTGTGAGGAGACGACAGCCCCTAATCCCTGTCAGAATAACAGGTGAGCCATGAGAGTAAAGAATAAGAAATATTTTTAATCTGCTTTTTATGGTTGTTGTAAAAACCCTCATAAGAAAAGTTTAGTAGGTAACTCACATGACCAACAGTTTCCTTTAAATTATGTGTCTAACAAACTTAAAACATCCATTAGTAGTACACTTCTTTCCATTAACGCAATACATATTTTTACACTTCCTCTTCCTCCTGCTTTAGATGTGTTCATGGTCTGTGTGTGATGAAGGCTCAGTCCTTTAGCTGCCAGTGCGATGAGGGCTACCAGGGTCAGTACTGTGATCGACAGCAGGAACCTCCAGCCTGCAGGGGGCACCGCTGCGGACGAGGGGAGTGTCACGTATCAGAGAGAGGAGAACCTGTCTGCCACTGTCAACAGGGCTACACTGGACCAACCTGTGACACAGGTAACACAGTGGGGGATTCAAGTACGGTATATATTTTAGGTGGCAGTTTTGCTAACATGAGCTCAATTCCCATCATTTGCAGAGCGCACATGCCAGGGCGAAATGGTGAGGGAGCAAATAAAGCGCCACCAAGCCCTGAGAACATGCACGTCCACCAGCAAGATCCCCCGCATGGACTGCCCGAGATCCTGCCAGGCATCGGCGCCCCCCGGTGTTTGCTGCGGAGTCACCAAAACCAGACGGAGAAAAGTGGTCTTCCGCTGCACCGACGGCACCTCGTACTCGGAGGAGATGGAAACGGCGCTGGAGTGCGGTTGCTCCAAATGCTCGTTGTAACAGCACCCGCCGCTTGTTTTTGTGTTCTGCAACGCACGCCGCTGCCCTCACGTGAACTCTAAATGTCGACGAGACTCTCAGACTGTTTCCACACTGATAAACACCAGCCCTCCATGAACAACTTCCACATCCTGTTTGACCGCTGCCAACGTGTTGTCAAGAAAAGCCGCAAATATAAGGAAAACAAATATCGGACATGTGTGTGTGTGTGTTTTTGACAGAGAGAAAATATATTGTAAAATATGAGTAAAAAAAACATAGAACTTATTTTTATTATAGATTTTTTTCTAAGATGATAAAAGGACTGTTTTTAATACTGTATGTTGATTATATAATGTTACATAGTATAAAAGTATTTTCTCCTTTGCAAGAAGAAAGAACTACAGAGCAAAAATAGATTAACATTCCGTAAAAATATATGAACTTTAATGGATGTGTTAATCTATATAAATGCTTAACCTAACCAAATGAATTTATATCTTTGAAGTCTATTTGCATGACGGTAATGTGAGTGCTGATACGTGTGGAAGGCTGTGGACTCTAAGAAGCTTCATGGTTCCACACAAGGAGAAGATGGCATTCTTTCATTGTCCTCCATCTTGGAGGATCAAAGGGAACTGTACGTGCCTTGCTAACCTGCTTCACTATATAATGGACACCATCCTCATGGGCGAGYTCACCCAAAAGACTCTTTTCACAGAGATGTTTTAACATTTTGTCCTAACATTGTGTCATTCTGTATCTTGCTGTTGCGCACCAGACTTGGAGCCGAATCAGGTTTGAATTGATTCAAATCTGAGTTTATTATGAGTCCGAAACAAAACGAGAAAAATGAAAATCACAGTACATTCCACTGAACCTGCTGCCTGCTAGGATTCAAAAAAGAGGCAATCCCCAATGAGCCACAGATGCTTGTAATTTAGGCCTGAGTGAAAACAGATTTGTTTTTAATGAAACAAGTGGACATGACAAAAAACTGTTGTAAAGTGTCTCTTAATGTTTATGCTCTTATGTATGCTCTGTTGCATCACTGCAGTAAACCTGCAAAATGGAAAGGTACTACTGTAGTTTAAGGAGTAAATTCAGCATTTCCTATTGTTTACTTTGTGCTCTCTGTGAGTGAGTCTGAGAGCAGTTTAAGTTCTCTGTACAGCAAAGTCCACTGCATTTGCCTTAAATAGTCAGAAACAAAGACATTACCATTCATAACTTTGCAAGTGTTAGGTCATCTKTTTTTAAGTTCAGAAGTGTTTCAACAGTATGTTTATTAGCTGCTCTTGAATGATTCATCATTGTATGTAGATGTTGATGGAACAGATGACGCCTGTCTTCAGGATGACATAATCAAAGTTACACAGTGGCCTTCGTCCAAAAGGAAATTATGCCTTTTTAGTGATCTCTCTCACCTACATCTTGACAATTATTTGTAAAAAAAAAGAAAAAAAAACAGATCAAGCAAAAAAACTCTTAATGATGCTAAATCCTTAGGGTGGATTCTTTGCTGTCAAAAGTATCACATGGTGTATTGTTGAATGTGAAAGTGTAATATGAAGAAGTTTTCTGTTCCCTCCACGGGTTTTGTTACAGTATTTACTATAGCACCCGATTCTAACAGTGTTTGGTGAATTATGTGATCAAAAGTAATAGAAAAACAAAAAAAAATCTTCTGACATTTTTTAATGGGGGTTAAAAAGTGCCTTGCAGTTGTTGACCAAAGACTGAGGTCTTCAGTTTGATCGTAACAAACCCATTTTCTAACATGTTACAAGTGGGGCCTCTGAAAACCTTCAAACAGAATCTGATCTTAATAATATAATTTCAACACAGTTGAAACAACTATAACTCCACAATGGTACATAAATGTTGACTAATACAATTCAAGTATAGCAAAGCAAGWATATGTAATTACTACTGTACTGTTTACTTTATTCATTAATACTTTGTTTACAACAGAAGCAATCTACTTCAGCATCTTTGCAGTTATTTACAGCTCTGTTACTTGGAGTTAGTAATRTGTCAATATTCTTATCTGTCAACATTATGATTTTCCATCTGTCTAATTCTTGGTGTTTTATTTTCTTGTAGCTTAACCTCACAACCTGCTTTCTTCAATTCTCTGCAATCTCTCCTTTTTTTTTTTTTTTTTTTTTTTTTTTTTTTTTTTTGTCCAGCCAATAATTTTCACTTTCTGTGCCTTTATCACATTCCTCTTCATTTATCTTCTCATGCCCTCTTGACCTGTTCCTAAAGGTTTGGTTCTTCATTGTGAACATAATAAAACACCTCAGCTCCTAGTTATTGGCAATAAAAATAACTGTATTCACTCACATGTATAAGTTCTAGAATATTATTGATGATAATAGTTGCTTTTGTTGAATGTTGAAATTAAACTACCATCAAAACCATGGCATTCTTCAGTGTCTGAGTTCTTAAAATTCTTAAGGTTTCTGCATAATTTAAATGTAGCTTGTGTCTTTGTGAAAGTAGGACCTTTTTTAAYGTAGCTATTTTCTGTCACAACAGAAAGCTGTTTTTAAGTACCTTTTATTTTATGTCATTTGCTTCAGTAAAATGCAGTAAAAGTTCAGTCCAAACTGCAGAACTCTGTGGTTGACCATTTCTCAGTCCTCGGTCAAACAGAAATCTAATCACCCAGAAGATATATTTGTGTTTCACAGRATGTTGGATGTGGTGATTGCAAAGCAGCAATTGATGAGCTCTCAAGTTGTGGTTATGGTTACAAAGTCTGATGCAAAAAGTCTCAGGCCGCAGTGTTCATAAAAACACTCTCTGCACAAACATCTACTGTAATCAGTAAACATGTGATGTTGCATCAACATCAACCAAACYATGAATTTGAACTGTTTGTGTGCTTATCCCTTGTTCTGAGCTCATCTTTTTTGTTTGTTCAGCTCATTTTAAGTAGTGTCCTTGTGCTTACTTAAATACATCTTTTTTTTTTGTTTGTTTTCTCAATGAACAAAGTTATCTATMTGTGTATTTATCCACCCATTTATCCACTGGGCTATGTACCACCTCCCCCATTATTTTCCCTCCTGTTCTGTCTGGACGTTACAAAATTCAAAGTCCAACTGATCGTTATAAAAGAACCATTAGTTTACTGAGACTTGTCATTGGCTGCTGTCACTGCTTCAGAGATTTCAGGTAAATCATGTTTTATGGAATAGGATACATGAGGGGCATAGTTATTCACAAAAATAACTGTTTTGATTTTTATCCGTTTCTGTTTAGTTCACAGGGGGAATTATTTGCTTAAAAGCACAGAGCCTGCTCTGAAGTTACAGTAACAAGTTTGTGTGTTTTTTATTTTATTTTTCAAATTTGTTTTTATGATAGGTTTTGATCAAATTTTAACAGTCTCATTATATTTCATTAAAACATTACTAAATGTTCTGTATTTCTTAAAAGATCACAAAATTATTTAACTATTATATATTTTTGAATGTAGAAAAAAGTTTCTGCTGTGCTTCTTCATTTTTTATAATATATAGATTTATCATTTGTTTTACAGGAAAATCATGAAGATCCCATTTGCATTTRTGCTGCTTTTCACCCCCATCCTCTGTCAGGGTACACATGGAAACGAAAGCTACAGGAAGTTTATAAACCAACACATAAATGCAAATATGAGGGTTGATCAGTGTGACAGTGTTATAAGCCAGCGCCGCATCTCCAAAACTGACAGCAACGAGTGCAAGGACACCAATACTTTCATCCGAGCCACCACCGGCCTTGTTAAACCAATTTGTGGAGCTGCAGGAGAGCCGTACGGTCAAAAGAGGAGAAGTTTGCTACCTTTTGATGTTGTTGTCTGCACACTGAGAAACGAAGGAGCCAGACGTCCAAGATGTCAGTACCGTGGTCAGAGCCGCACCAGGAGAATTGTAATTGCTTGTGAGGGTGACCTACCTGTGCATTTTCATGAAGACGTGATTTTTGGCAACTGATTGGTTTGTTGTGAGCCTCAGTGTTATTAAATAAAGCAAAATTAACAACTTACACTTGCATTAAGGGTGTGTGTTGTGTATGTGTGCAAAAAGTCATATATTCTGTTAGAAATAAAAGTACATGCTATAGTTGACATTTCTATATTAGATGGCAGGAAGCATACTGTTTCCTGTACTGGCATCCTGTAAGCATAGTGGACTTTTAGGTAAAAAAAAAAAATCTTTATAGTTAAAAAAACTAAACTTGGATCTGTAAATACTTAACTTGAAAAATATTTAATTATGCTGTATTATAG